AAAAAAAAAAAAAAAAAAAGTCAGCTGTGGTCGTCATTGTTGTTACTCCCATCATTGTTGTTAGACTGGGGAGAACCCAAGCTGCTGTGGCCACCAGGAGGCTGCTGCAGCACTCAGGGAGTAAAGCATCACTCCTAAGTCATGTGACTCAAAACAGGCCACCTTTTCGTTCTTCTCTGGGCCTCAGTTTTCTTGTCTGTAAAATGGGGATGTCTTTCACTCATGGGGTTATTGTGAGATGCAGGTAAGATCAGGTTCGAGGTGCTTTGTAAACTACAATAGAGGCTCTCTTAGCTGTACAAACAGTGGGTAACCATGTCGATTAACTTAAAATCAACTAAGTCAAGAAATGATTTTTACAAATGGTACCTTCTTACTGTAAACATTTTATTATAAGTTAAAATATGTTAATACTCACTTATCATTCTTTTCATGTAGAGCCAAGGCCTTTTCTTTGATTATGGGGCCATTTATCTTACATAAATCACACATGTAATAGAGTTTTGATTTCTTCATAGCAAGAACTTAAAAACAATTGAAAAGTAATATGAGGGCAGATTCTTTTATATTTTTACCCAGACTTTCATAGTTGATTCTCCCACGCTTAATTAAACAGAAGTTTGTTCAGTGCTTGTTTAACAAGTCTTTCCAAAGTATTCAACATACTTTTCATAGGAAATAAAACTGCCTTCTGTTCATGTTCGTATTGCATTGTTTACATACTCGTATATAATGATAAATCTCAGAACAACAGCACAAGCAAGCTTGGGAATGAACACCAGTGACTGATGGGAGCACCAGCTCCCCGGGAGGCCCTGGAGTGTAATGGCGCACAATCTAGAGAGCCTGGGAGCCTCACCTGCTCAGGGGGTTGTGGCTTCAGTCAGTTTACAGAGAGAGTGGAAAGTGTCCAGCAAGCTGAGGAAGTGGACATTAGTTGAGAGCCTCTGTATATGTAGAGCTGTACATTAAAATTTAACCCTGGTTCGTGATGTTTTAAGAGTAGTGAGGTAGAAATTTCAAGACGCTGGAAACCTCTTAGGGAATAACTATTCTCACTGAAAACAATTTTTAAAAAAATTCAGGGCTTCCCTGTTGGCGCAGTGCTTGAGGGTCCGCCTGCCGATGCGGGGGGCGCGGGTTCGTGCCCCGTTTCGGGAGGATCCCACGTGCCGCGGAGCGGCTGGGCCCGTGAGCCATGGCCGCTGGGCCTGCGCGTCCGGAGCCTGTGCTCCGCAAATGGGAGAGGCCACGACAGTGAGAGGCCCGCATAACGCAAGAAAAAAAAAAAAAAAAAAAAAAATTCAGATGGTTTTAGCCCTCTGCTTGTGAGGTTTTGTAAGGTTTTTTCCTCCTTACCTCTCCTTTCCCTGCCCTGGCATATGAACAGATGAGAACCCAGCGTATATCCACAGATAGGCATGGGACTTAAGCCGGGTAAAGAGGGAAGAGGGGACCGATGGGAGGATCCCTGATTTGATGACTCAGGTGAAGGTGAAGGTTTATGAAAGATGGGGAATTAGAGAAAGAGCTGGAAAAATGGTGGAGGGGGTGGTCGGAGAGTGACTTGTGTGACATTGAGAGTATGAAGGGGTTATACTTTACAGTGTTGACAAGACCTTAGGACATTACTGTGGGAGCGGGTGATTAAGGTAGGGTGGAGGACGAGATCTTTGGAAGAGAGAAGCTCAAATCATTGAGGCCAGCATATTTGGAAGCATAATCCACGTGCATGTTGAAATTGATGGGAATTAAGAATGGAGTAGTATGAGGATAAAAGCATAAACCAGGAGACGCATTCATCATGAAATGGAGGAAAATGACTCTGGAACTAATAGATGACTAACAATAAGGGATAGTGGGTGATATGATCTGATGACAGGAGATTCAGACCTGAGGCTTGGGGAGGAGAAAGGGGAATGCACAGAATGTAGCAGTGGGGCAAGGAGGACCTCAGCCCCATCCGCACACCCAGTGATACAAGGACCATGGGAGAAAACAGCCTGACTTGAGAGGTTGCAGGGAAAACTGCGTCCTCGGGACAGTCAGGTTTTTGTTAGCACAAGAATGAAGGGAACGTTCAGGATACCGTGATTTCACTGATGGAGGGTTTTAGAGATTAGGAAGGAGTAGGAGGTAATAGGAGGCAGAGTAAGGAGTGTCTGGAACTTTGCTGGGGACGAGAGTGCCCACTGTCAATATTCTATCCACCATTATACTGGAGGTCCTAGTCAGCTGGAAAAGACCAGAAAAAGGAATAAAGGGTTTTAGAATGAGGAAGAAACAGAACTCATTATTTGCAGATAATATTATTGTCTAATGAGAAAATATTAACAGAATTACATAAGTGTAAGATGAATGTACTCAGTGCCACAGAACTGTACACTTAAAAAAGAGTAACATGCGTTGTGCAATCTTACTTCTCCACTTTATGTTACGTGTTTTGTTTTACTTCTTTGTTTGATTTTGAGTTTTTTGGTAGACTTTTTTTTTTTTGAGGAAATTGACAGCTGATTTTAAATTTACATGAAGGAACAAAGAGTCAAAACACTCTTGAAGAAGAAGGCAATGGGGAGATTTATACCCTACCAGATATAAAGGCTTGTTACAACTACAATTATTAAGACACAATGGTATTGGCAGAGGGACAGACAAATTGACAAATGGAATATGATAGCTTAAAAGCAGATCCATATATATATGGAAATTTGATAGTTGATAGAGGTGACATTGAAGATCCCTGGGAAAAGGACTGCTCAGCAAATGATTCTGGGACTGTTGGTAGTCCACGTGAGAGAAAACCAAAATTGTATTCCTACTTCACATCCTATACAAAAGTCATTCCAGGTGAATTTAAAGACAAATGGAAAAGACAAAAGTTTAAGCCTTTCAGAAGAAAATACAGGAGAAAATCTTTGACTTCACAGAGTAGGGAAAATTTTCTCAAAGATTCAGAAACATTCTATGCGTAAAGATGATGGTAAAAAAATTAAGAGTTTCTGTTCTTCAAAAGACAGTATAATACAAAGAAATTGAAAAGACAAGGTGGGAAAAGTAACTTAAAATCTACTCAACTGAGGGACTTCCTTGGCGGTCTAGTGGTTAATATTCTGAGCTTCCACTGCAGGGGGCATGGCTTCGATCCCTGGTTGGCTTAGTATCCAGAATGTATAAGGAATTCCTGAGTAACAGTAATAATGACAATAGAAAAATGAGCAAACAGTCATTTTATAGAAGAGAACACACAAATAGTTAACATATGAAAACATAACCTCAATAACCCAGGAAATGGAAAATAAAACCATAATGAGACACAATTAGATTAATAAAGTTAAGTCTGACAGAGCCGGGTATTAATGAGGATATGCCTATTCTTGATTTAAATGGAAACATACAGCATGTTATCTATATTTAGTATATAATGAAGTGTTATATTAAAAGAAAAGTTAACTTGAGCTGTCCCAGTCCATACCTGGCCCCTTTCTTATAGTAACAGATTCCATTTCAGCAGTCTTCCTGTTTTTACGCCCCAATAGAAATCCTTTTTCAGCTGACCTGGAATGAGTTCACGGCAGCAGTGTGATGCTGTCATGCATCGTCAGTCACTGGTTCACTAATTTGAGACCATGTGCTTCATCAGGAAATTACTGGAAGAAGTGAGCTCTCAGCCTCTGACAATCAGGCACCCTTTGGGCAGCTCTGCAGTCTTGCTTGATCAGCTACAGTAATAAGCTGTTATACGGTAGAGATAATTACTCTAGGATGTTAACACCAGAGAAAATTTAAAACCAGTAATTTTACACTGAAAGACAGCCTTAAAGTTGAATTCCCTCAGTTTTGGAATAGAACGGTAAAATAAAAATAGACCAAATTTGTCATCAGAAGACGAGATTTTGGTCTTCTTGTGCCACTGACTTGCCTTGAAAGCCCAGGCGAGTCACTTGTACTCTGAGCCTCCCTCAGTGTGGAGTGGGTCTGGTCGACCTCACCTGCTTTCTTCCTGGAGCTGTTGGGAGGGTGAGGAAAGCCGGTGGCTATACAGCCCCGCCATCAAAGGAGGTTTTATACCATAATTACTGTCTTACGGACGAGAAAATACATTCAGAGGGATGAAATGTTGTCCACGGTCATTCAACCAGTTAGCAGAAGAGCTGGGATATGGACCAGGATTTCCCAAATTCCTGAGCAAGGGTCCCATGCAGCCTTTCCTTCCCTCTGAAATTAAGAATGATTTTCTTTCTCACACAGACTAAAATTTTCAGACTTTTTCCTTTTCAATTATTCACATTTTAAAATTTAGCATTTCTGGCCAAGGTATGAATGTTTTTATCGAAGAGGTACTTTACTGACAATATTTTAAATGCATGCTAGTGTTGATAAGAATTCGCTAAATGACGGAATTCCCTGGCAGTCCAGTGGTTAGGACTCCGTGCTTTCAGTGCCGAGGGCGCGGGTTCGCTCCCTGGTTGGGGAACTAAGATCCCACAAGCCATGGGGCATGGCCAAAAAAAAAAAAAAAAAAATTTGCTAAATGAGAAAATCTGCAGCACACTTGGAAGTATTATGGGCAATCTTTCCTATTCTATTCAGGAAGAGGAAACACATCAAATTACATCAAAAATCTACTATAAAAGGTGCTACATGTTATGTCTTAAAAATCATCTTGTTGATGTGATGGGGCAGAATATATTTAATAAAATCAATGCCCCCTTTTGAAGCCCACTCTTACTCGGTAAAGTTACGCAGTTTGAAAGAATCCCCGCATAAAAAGCAAGTGTCACAGCGAGTACCACTTTCTTTTCATTCTAAAAAGCATATGGCTATTTGTTGTGTAAGAGAGGGGCAGTTATACCACTCCCGGCGGATTTTACCTTCCAATTTTTGAGACATCTGCTCTGTGACAGCTATTTCTGAAAGGCTAGTGAGGGACTCCCACCGGAGCCTGACACTGGTCCCTTCTCTACACACTGCACTAGCGTGAGGATGCTTTGCTTCAAATCAAGAAGTGCAGCAGTGTGGGAAGAATACTCAAGTTACCCCTGCCCTCACAGCTTCTCTTGTCTTGTCAGTAGTCAGGACAGAATTGGAATGACAGCCCCCGCCCCTACTCGGCCCAGGGCTAAGAAACATCCCTGATCCTGCAGTGTGATGCCTTTAACCCCAGCTTGAGTCCTGCCTCCCCTCTTTAGTAGCTGTTTTATGATCGTGGGCAAATCACTTCCCTCTTCTGCTACCAGTTTCCTTGTCTCACAGAGGATAATCACACTCCTTCCTTCCTTCCTCCCAGAACTGTGTGAAGACCCAATGAGAAAATGTCTGGTAAGCTATAGAGGGCCATCCACTGTTAGCATGGTGGGCAAGCCATACATAACTGTAACGTGGGAGACCAGAGCTGAGACTCAGGATGAGGAAGGCCAAAAAAATCAGTAAAAAATGAAAACGACATAGTATTTTTTTAAAGAAACAATTTGACTGCAGGGTCATGGATTAGGAGATGACTAATAAAATGGTGGGAGAACGTGCTTTAGTGAGGGTATGATTGTTTCTTCTGATGTCTTTAACACTTTAATTGTGTGACACTGGACCTTCCACAGAGCTCTCATTAGTGCTCAGGAAGTACCCCTCCAGTGCACAGGACACTGCCAAGTCTTAGCACACCTTTGCTTATCAGGCCCTTTTCCTTTATCGTACGGGTATTGCGGTCTGGCCCCTTTCATAACTGTCACAAATGCAAGTTATTTTAATCCCTAAATTAATCAGGTTTTATTTTATAGTAAGCTCTGTTTGACTGGGTCCCTGAATTATGTGCAGCCTGTTTTGTTTCGTAGGTATTAAAACCAGGCAAAAGTGTCTTGTTTCGCGACTATGGGCTGTATGATCATGCCATGCTTAGGTTTAAAGCCGGCAGCAAACTTGCAGAAAACTTTTATGTTAGACAAGATGGAACCAGATCGTATTTTTTCACTGATGGTAAGATTGCTGGAATCTGTCTTGACTGTTGTTTCCTTGATTGCATTGTCACTGTGGTACCAGTTGGAATGGGGGGTGACTGTACCCCCCTTACAAGCACAAGGTCCCAGAACAAGCCCACTCACGTGCACCACTTACCAGCCCTGGCTGTGAGCTCACGGGCCGCCTCTGGTGACGGTGTCCAGTTAGTGAGCCGGATCAGCGGACAGGCTCTGATGTGCCGCCATGTGGATGATGCCAGGAGCTGCACTGGAAAGGGGGGAGAGCAAACCAGAATCTTCACTTCGTTCACTCAGGAATAAAGCAAATAGGACAGGGTAATGCCTTGAGATTACTTGAGTCTCAGAAAGGTAAGAAACCTTTTTCTATAAAAGTGATTGAGGGACTTCCCTGGTGGTCCAGTGGTTAAGACTTTACCTTTCAATGCAGAGGGTGCAGGTTCGATCCCTGATTGGGGAGCTAAGACCCCACATGCCTCGAGGCCAAAACATCAAAGCAAAAAACAAGCAATATTGTAACAAATTGAATAAAGATTTCAAAAATGGTCCACATCAAGAAAAATCTTTAAGGAAAAAAGTGATTGAAACTGTTTTTACACAAATTTGCTATAGAGGAGTCTTTAAAAGGTCATTTTTGATAAGAAAACCATCCAAACACTGAACATGATTTTAGTCTTTTAGGTATTTTGAACGTTAGTTTTAAGCCTGTTAAATACAGGCATACCTCGTTTTATTGTGCTTCGTGGATATTGCATTTTTCGTAAATGGGATGTTTCTGACAACCCTGTGTCGAACAAGTCTGTTGGCACCATTTTTCCCACAGCATTTGCTCACTTCATGCCTCTATGTCAGATTTTGGTAATTCTCGCAATATTTCAAACTATTATAAATTATTATATTTCCTATGGTGATCTGTGATCAGTGATCTTTGATGTTACTACTAAGACTCGCTACAGGCTCAGATGATGGTTAGCAAGTTTTAGCAATACAGAATTTTTAAATTAAGGTACACACATTGTTTTTTTAGACACAGTGCTACTGCACACTTAATAGACTACAGTATAGTGTAAACATAACTTTCATATGCACTGAGAAACCAGAAAATTCGTGTGGCTCACTTTATTGCAATATTTGCCTTTATTGTGGTGGTCTGGAACCGAACCCACAATATCTCTGAGGTATGCCTGTAATCTGAACCATAAGATAATTACCTTCTTAAGCTCTAATTTTTACATTTGTATTTCTTGAAGTGAAATATTCTCTTAAAAATAAAGCTAAAAATGAGTGGTTACCATTAAAACTACAAAACCATTAAAAATGTACAGTGAAAATTAAAAATGTACAGTGAAAATTAAAAATTTGTTTTAATGTTTTGGATTCATGAATTGTGATTAAACCAACTATAAATAATTGAGAAGATGCAATAATATCTGCAGAGTGCTTCAGAGCACATTCTTTGGCGTAATGCCCTCGATAAGAGTCTTTGTTTTTGCTACGTAGCCATTCTATTTGTTTCACTTAATGTGTAGTGATGTATTACTTGGATTAACTTTTCCTTAGGGTATGTCACCATCAGATGATGTTTTTTCTCCCCACTTTGGTCACTGATTTTCCTCTTTCATGTTAGCATAGATGAGGTGCTTGATGTAAACAAATTGAGCACACATGCACTTTGCATGAGTACAGCCAGTCTGGAATTGTGTTTCTTTTTACTCAGACTCTTGTCCTCGGGGAATCATAGTAGGGCAAGAAGGGCGTACGTACTCCAGGTTGTTCTTAAAACTTTTTTGCTTATTTATTTGGGAGTTTTTGTTTGACAGGGAGAAGAGTTCGTTAACTTTCCAGTACAAAACCTTCTTTACCTTTTAGTGTTGAGGTTCTCCTTCCATTAAGGATGCCCTGTCTCAGCCTCCCACCCCCTTCACCACTGCTCAGCGGTGCAGTGGAGTCCAGACTGCGAGCGCTGTCGATCTGCTTGTCTTCTAGAATTCCTGGCACGGCTCTTTATGGACACAGGTTACGAAGAAGAGGTAAACGAGTATGTGTTTCGTGAGACGGTGAATAAAAAAGAAGGCCTGTGTGTGCCGAGGGTTTTCCTTCAGAGCAAGTTCCGAAAGTCTCTGAAGAACCCAACTCCTGTGACCCCGCACCTGGGCCATGAGTCCTGACCTTTCACGAGGTTGATGTCTGTGCCTCCCCTTGAAGAGGAAAGTTTAAAGTCACTCTTTTTATTTTGTGTACTTTTATATTTTAACTTTTTAAAATGAATATATATACTTTTTATATTAAAAGGTAGCAAGTGTGTGTGTGTTACAGAATTGTAAATAAAATTGCAAGACCTGAAGTGGAAAGTTTTATGGTATAAAGTGATTTAGCCATGTTGTCTTAAGATTCCACAGAGGAAAGCACGAGGGCCCTGTAGCACTTAAAGAGACCCATGTCATTCATTACTCCTGAAGTCTGTAAATGTGTCTCTAGGCAGCATGTCAGACAACCCTGTGGAAAAATGAGGCCAAATAGACTAAAATAACACATCCCTGTGTATTTTTAGCTTGAAGGATTGTTCTCTTCTCTTGTTTCTCCCGTGTCTCATGTTTGCCCATTTCCCTCTGCTTTGGTTCATTTATGTGCCTCCTCAGGACCAGTGTCCACAAATGCTACTTTTGCATTGGAGGTCTCAGGAACACCCCATGGCTCCCTGCTTCGTTCTTGAGACCGTCTGTAATTGGGCCAGTCCCTGGCCACAGTGCCCTGAGGGCGACGGGAAGGCCATCCCCTGTCCCAGCTCCCCACTGGGAAATGAGGCGGCAGCAGCTAAGAGGCAATGACTGCCATGGCTAGTTGCTGAGGTGGCATATGGGAAAATCCTCAGATTGGTCTGCCGACCTGTTTCTCAAGCATTCCTGTGTAATGACTTTCACTTTATAAAATGAAATCAGAGTTCTTTTGGCCTGCTAACAAAGCTGATCCTGTAGGCCGTGATGTTTCCTGTTCATGAGGATGGTTGTCTTGAGTGTACTGCCTGGACCGCACACACAGCCAGCTAGGGCCCTTCAGCACCAAACACATTTGAAGGGGAGGGGTCCCTGTGGGGAGGGGCTGGCCAGTTGTCATAGCCATTCTGTACAATTAGAGTCAGCCCTCCCGCTCCCGGAGAGAAGAGGGACAGGCAGTGAGGCTCAGGCGGCGTGCTTGCTGGGTGTCCTCACTCTGCCATCTGTCCCTGACTGCTTGGGAGGACGCTAAGGGGCAGGGGAACCAAGAGGAACCCCTCTCTGTTGCTGCTCTGTTGCATTATGTGTTCTCTCCCCTTCTTTTGAAGGCTGGAGGATGGCTATCCTGGGTAAGAGCAGAACTGATGAGGACTAGTACAGAGTTGTCCTTTTTTTTTTTTTTTTTTTTCGGTGCGGGC